GACTAAAAAAATTATTTCCTTAAAAAGTAAATTTATTATAATTTCTCAATTCTTGAAAGTGAATTTTTAAAAAAATGTTTTAAACTTTAATATTCTACGCATGAAAAATAACAAAGCAAAACGAAAGTCAATCTAAACAGGTGGCATAAAATTACAAATATTCAATATTGCAGAAAAAATTTCAGTTTTTGAATATAACCGACACCATATAAATTCTATCAAATATGATTGTAAGCGGTGCAAGCAGTGCTCCGCTGACGTTAATTTCTCCATCTAGCACTACCCCACAATCGCTTCACAGTTTGGGTATGGCATCCAGTTTTGGGGTCTATAAAATTTTAACCGTGATTCACAGTGAAATGTTCATTCCCAGCATTTCTTAACTCTTCTTACTTGTAGCAGACTTGCCAACTCTCCCGATTTTCGACCGCTCTCCCGCCAACCCGATTTACAATATATACATATATATATATTTTGGTTTACTTAAACGATGCAAGTAATAAAAATGTTTTTTATGTGTAAGGTAATTTTGTGTTGCTTGCATTTAAGAATTAGTTACTATTTAAAGTTAATTCATTATTAAAAACTATATTTTCCTCATTTAAAAAGTCTTTATAACATTGTGAAAAATCTCCCGATTTCTTAAAAACATCTCCTGATTTTTGAGTGTCATAGGTTGGCAAGTATGCTTGTAGCCTTTTCTTTTTTTTTTTTTCACAACAATAACGTACGTAACAACACCATACAGGAGCTTTGTGAAGTAATTAGGAATTGACTTTAATATGTGAAAAAACTGTATTAACATCAAGCATCAAGTGTAACACTACAAGTTTAAAAAAATGTATTTGACCTTGAGTGGATGAATGAAAAGTATTTTATTAACAACTGAAAATTTCAACAAGATATAGGGAGAGTGTGAGCTATAATAGTAAGAATTTAATAAGTAAAATATTATAACTTTTAAATGTTGGACTTATAAAGATTTTCTTCCAAAATTATCGTAGAGATTTAATTTAATTTCTTACATGTGATTTTGATATATTTTTTAGTTATTTATTTTAGTTTCTATTTATGCCACTGTATACTGCTACTCGGCAAGCGTAAGCTATTTGTTTGTCTTTCGAGTTTAAGAAACAAACCCAGCGTTTAAAATTAATTTTGTTGCCTCCGTACAGGTTCGTAATAGATTGATTGAATGCACACTGGTCCGATGATAGTTTGATCAAATGTATTTTATCAAAAGAAACACTTCAGAGTTCTGGAACTTTCCACAGAAATACTCGTACAGGTGTTCACAATATCACAGAGTACTCTCAGTAGTTACATTTCAAACTACTAAGAAACATAATGTAATGCAAAGCGCATCTAAAAGGCTAGGCTGTCAATACTCCGATGTCGTTCTGAACTAATAACTGTCAACAACAACTGAGAGCGGATGCTTTCTCTTCGGTCATTTGTAGTTCTTACCAGGCAGCAGAGATATTTCTAGTACTTCCCAAAATTACTGGAAGGTATATGAGGCCGTGTACGGTTACAGTTGCATCTGAAGTCAATTAGAGATATTCAGTAACAATACCTATTACGGTGATACAGAGACCGAACCAAATTACGCCAAATGGTCTCCAAGTTTGGCGACAAAAATTATTCGACAAAGCCGTCGCCAAATTAGCAAGATAGCATTACTGAAAGTTAAATAAACTTGCTGGAAGAATATCCCCTCTCTAGATTTTCATGTTACATTATACAGAAAAATACAAGAATGTTCGCATATAACTTGATTCAAATTATCCGTATATGTATAAAATTCGTAACAATGTGTTGCCGCCTCCCGGAATGAAATATTTTTCTCTTCCACGCGTCAATGTGTTGCTATTCGGCAACGCATAAAATATTTAATTTTTAATTTTTTCCCAAATTTACCCTTTGTTTTAGTGATTAAAAAACTAAATGATAGACTCAATTCTTCATTCGTATCATAATTAATTACTAGCTGGATTGGTGAAGCTGCACTAGCTGAAGTCTCTAAAATCCTTACATTGGGCCCACCAGCGGCCGAGCGGTTCGAATCCCGCGAACGGGCTGGCTGCATGGGCGTTTTCGTGGTGTTTCCCATGTGTAACGTGTATACGAGCCAGTTTCCCTTAGAAAGTCCTCCACGAAGCCATCTCGGTAAAGCCTCCAGGGCAGATAGTAATTAAATTTGCCGTAGTTAAATAACCTAACCTAACCTAAAATCCTTACATATTTTTTTTTATTTTGTACACTTATTTTAGGCGGCTGATTACGCATGTAGTTAATAAAACTTTATTAAAGAATTTTAACAGGATGTTAAACAAACTAAAGCTGGAAAAAATAAACCTAACAAATTAAATTAAATTGAAATTTTCAGATTCGAAATTGAATTTGAGGAAACGTAATTCTCAGTTCTACTTTATTTCGTTTGATAAATAGAAAACACCAATATTTATCTTAAGTTTTCTGCCACGATAATAAGTTTAGAAAAAGAAATATCACTCTATTTTGGGAGTAATTGATGCATATGTTAACAACAAATCAATCCATACTTATTGATTTTAGGCTCTAATAACAACTTTGCACTTTTCGAACCTTATAATTTTAAGAGGAAACTACTAATTTGCTCAAAGTTTTGCACTTTCTACATCTCATCTACTTCATACGCACGGGATAAACTGTTCTTATACATTTCTTAAATCTAGTTTAGTTATAAAGGCATTTTAGTATCAAGTCTTTAGAGATTGATAGAAAACGTCGCATTTAAACCGAAATGGTTCGAAATAGTGTAATTAAGAACGCTAAGTGTATCTTATGCTGTGCGACATCATGAAGAAAATACTATTCGGAGAATTCTTCTCTACGCTTGAAATGAAAGCGTCTGCTTGTGAGTTCATTTTCTTTTCCTACTATCCTGATATATTTATCAAGTTATATAATTTAGAAAATATATGTATATTTTTGGGTACATGAACGTATTATACATTAAACTGCTCCCAAAAATGCACGCATGCCTTCAGACAAGCTGTTTGATATGATAGAGGATAATTATTTAATGAACTATAATTTAATTTGACTATCGCTATGTACAAATTAATAGAAATAAACTGCATAAATAAATAATAGCGAGCGTAAATGATAGGAAATTTTTGCTAGTGAGATTCTGCAAGGTATAAGCAGTCACAAAAAATCAAGATTACCCAACCTCACACTAGCAAACTACTTTTGGCATTTGCGCACATGTAATGCAGCTGGATAAACATCGCAGATTTCGTAGCTTTTGTTGCATTACTATCCTCCCAAATCTTAAATAACATGTATTGTAGATTCTACATATGTGTAGAGAATGGCTTCACCATTATTTGAACTACGGACATTGCAATTGTTATTAGTCGGACGCGTTTTCCAGTTATACCACGAAGGCACGCGGTAACGAAAGAGAAAACACCTTACAGTTCTCTTCGGTTTCGGTTTGGTATCTCAAGCTAGAACTTTAAAAATCTCAATTACGAAACACTGACTTGCAAAAAATGTATATGCATGTTATACAACTTCTGGTTGGTTAATTATTTGATTTGTGTTAAACCAGATTCCCAAACTTTTTTGTCCCGTAGACCACTTGCCGATTTTTCTGCTTTTCGTAGACCTCTTCCTAGGAGTCGTCACAGAATCACTCAGGAAGTATAATATTTATACTTGACTTCTCCAAAACAAAGTGAAACCGAAGTTAAAATTTCACCCAAAGCATTCCAAAATACGCACATGCAAAAGAAAAATGTTTTGAAATGTCACGTGACAAGTGCGAAATCTACCTCACAGTGACACTTCTCAGATGAAATTTTACACTGGTTGAGTGGTTTTTAAAACGCTACCTTAATACTGAATTTTTCTTTCAAATTTATCAACTTCAAACGTGTTTTTAAGAGCCTGAACAGAGCTACTCACTCTAATAAAGTTTACTGTAAAGTGAAAAATTGTATTTCATGCTACCGGTATCAAATTTGCAAGTTTTTACAAGTTACATATATCGTAGCCATAAGCGAATAGGTACCTTCTTACACAAGTATATTAAATATACTTAATTAATATACTATAATTAGTTAATTTATATGCCTACTCTATAAGAAAGTATTAAGTAAGTATATGGATAAAATAATCTGCGTTAGTTGCATAATGGCATTTATTCAATGCCTAAATTATGGTGATAATCTGCTAAATGGGATCCGGTCCTGTAGACCCTTATTTAGATATTATGCACCTTTAATTTTTTTTTTTCGTTGACATGGACCCTATGCAGATCGGAATAGATACCAGGAGGTCCATATAGACAGATCTCTTTGAGAATCTATACTCTAAAAAGAGATATTCTCTACCCACGGCATCCAGTTGTCTGCACGGTTGGTTTTCGGAGTATTCTCTATGTGTAGCGTGAATACAAGCGAATTTTCCTTAAGTAGCCTTCACGAAAGCATCCCTTTCCTTAGTTAGCTAACTTTCATGTACTTCGTTTCATTAAAATAATTTAATCAACGATGGATTTTGGAAGATTACAATTGTTTAACATTTTTGCTCTCATGTTATCTAGACGAACTTACTTTACGCAGATAGTTTAGTTGAGGAGATTATTTACAAGACAAGGGCATGGAGTTACGTTATGCAGATTTATCGGAATAGAAAACATATAAAATTGCTGGATACATGGATTTAATAACTATATAAATTTATTTTAGCACTAAAAAATGCATAAAACTTAACGGGGATTCTTTGGAAAGTCAACAGTAAATAAAAAGAGTTATATGCGGTAACATTGTAAAATATTCATATACATTAATAATCAAGGTAAAAAATATAAGGCATTCCTTCTGTAAAGTCATTTATGTTATAAAAATGTAAGTTTTTTTTTATTTTTATTTTACAAACTAAATTCAAATTTATGATAATTCCTTATGCGCATGAAAGTGATTTGTGATTCATTTTGTATTCCTCAGACATTCCGGCTCAGAGGGCACCAACACCTTATCCCGTTTTCAGGAAAAAAAAACCGAAATCTGAAAGCGAGAAGGAAAATGAAATTGCCGAGTACTGCAAGGAAATGCTGCAGAAATCCATGCTGACGGGTGTACCGCAAATAGTTACGGCTCCCACCACTCGAAGCAAAGTTTTTAAGACATTTGTATTTTTGGGAAGCATAACTGGGTTCGTATAGTATTTATTTATTATTAAAGCTTTGCTAGTGAAATTATTGGGATGACAATAATTTAATAAGCAACTTCTTTTTGTTCTTTATTTATTTTTCTGGAAGTTTTCGGCCAACTCTTTAAAACTGTTATTAAAAAAAAAATGTATTTTATTTAGTGAACAAACTTAGCAATTTAAAAAAGGTGTGTTGCCACTTCCCGAAATAAAATATTTTTATTTTGTTTTCACCTGTCCGTGCGTTGTCATTCATCAAAGCCTGGGGTGTTTTATTTTTCTTTCCAATTTAATTTGTCTATTACTGATTAAACTCCTAAGCGATTTAAAAGCAATAAATGTAGTTCTTTGTCTCTTTCATAATAAATTATTAGCTGGACTCAAGAAATTATATTAACTGGACATATATTTTTCCCTTTTTCATAATAACTATTTTAGGCGGATAATCTCAGCCAAGAGTTTAAAAAGGATGTTTTTAAATTCTTAAGCCAGCTATGAGTTACAACAGATATCTTTATTGCAATTTATGTCTTTCTTGATCGTGCAATTTCTTTGAATAACTCTTCACGTACTTTTTGTAAAAAATTAATGTGTATGAAAGACAGTTTTACATTGTTAAACTAGGTATTAGTGACGATTAGTTTGTTAACAATATTTAGCACACTCGGTATTAGTGATACTTAGTTCACTACATAACAGTATTCAACATCTGTATGCAATTTTAATTGTAGTTTTTGCATTTTTATAAAATGTAATGCATTTTTGTAAATACACTGCATTTAACGAAAGAGTTGTTAGCTGGTATGTAATGCAGTTGACATACTAGATTGGTTGGTCAGTTGGTATGGTATCCATTCGACGTAGATTGGTTGGCTAGTTGGCATTATCAGTTAGTTAATTAATTATTTCAAAGCATCGAGCTCTTTCCATTAGAGACAGAATACAATCTTGTGCATAAAAAAAAGAATAATTCCTGAACCCTAACTGCTTTGTATACTTTTTCTGTTTATATGAATTTGAAAAATACAGAATTTATCCAGTTCTTGTGAATAATTCTAAATTCTGTTTAGGTTTCGTTTAAGTTCGAGTCAAAATCAAAGCATTTAGAATTGATCTAAATGCCTTACAAATAGAAATATCTGCCAATTAAAACTCTCCTTAAGAATCCTTAATTATTGTTAAGTAATACTAGTGAAAAAGTCAATAGCTTGATTAACAATACAAGATATCTTAAAATTAAGTTTTAACTGGTTTTCTTAGTCTTAATAATTAAAACTTATTAGATGTTTTCTCAAAATAAGCAATAATTAATGCGATATATATCTTCCGTAAATGGAAATTCATAGATCATCATTGGCTGGCCTTGAACGTTTTTCATTTTCAATTTTCAAAAGAAAATTCGTTATTTCGTTGTTAACACAGCAACAGCATGCGTTTTGGAGAAATCTAGAAGCATTTAAAATCAATTTGGCGGAAATAGAAAACTCTATGACAGCCTTCAAAAAATTAAAATCCGCAGATACGGGTAGAAATAACAACTATTCATCTCTATGGAGACCATAATTCGACAACTGATACTGTTGTCAAAAATATTGGTATTTTCTGATTTTTCACAATATTTAACTGGCTGTGGCACCATCTCATGAAAGACAGTTTTTCACCCTTACAGTATATGAAGCGTTAAATAGTGTGAAAAGGAATCCTGGAACTACGAAAGAAATTATCTGCATGAAGGCTGACTGACCAGCGGCCGAGCGAAAAAGTCGCTGAATACTGGTAGTTCAGTACGAGGTTCAAATCTCGCGAACGGTCTGGCTGCATGGGCGTTTTCATGGTTTTTACCATGTATGTACGAACTTCCCTTAAAAAGTCATCTACGAAGGCATCCCTCCCCTTAGGCAAATAAATAGCCCTCGAGGCTTTGCTGTAATCACATAAACCAAAACCAATATCCGCACGAAGGGACTTGCCGTTCCCTTACAGTTTTTTCACATTACATCTCCAAATGCTTTTCCTCTCAATCAAAAAATTTCATTTCAAGACCAGTTTTGCACTATAAATTAAAAAAAATTATAAACATTTTAGAGGAAGAAAAATATTGAACTAACGATATCATATGACACCTCTGTCATCAACAATCTAAGATGTAACCATGTTGCACGTTAAAAATCTGGCTATTTCGTTTTCCCAGTCCTGGCGACTAATCCTCCGATTTTGGCAACTGATCGAAATGGCCTCTTCAAAAAGGTAGTACCAAGAAAGGAATGTAGAATATTTCAGCGAAATTCAGCTTTTAATTTCCCATATCAAGAAACCAATTAAGCATTTTATTGTTATAGAGTATTTTTATTGCAATAAAAATTATGCTGACATTTATTTGATGAAAAATATATATCTTTCTAGGTTTTTATATCAAACGTCAGCTTTCTTGGTGATGTATTTCGCTTATCCTACTTTGGTAGACGTGCAGGTTACAACACCTCCTTATGTAGATGTGCCTTCGATAACAGTCTGCAATAGAAATGGGTGAGAAATTTCTTCCATTACTATTACGCAATTAAATTGATTTTTGCGAGTGTATTTTTGCGTTATGATATTTGACAAAGAACTGCAATTTATCCATGTGCTCAAAAGACTCATTTCAAGTCATATTATGTGCATGTTATGGTACTCGAATGTTAAGGTACTTGAACTTAACGCTAAGGAGTTAGCATTTTTCGACCATTCAGCATGGACGAACATTTCTGAGGCCAAAATATTTAGAAGTCATGTTGAGCCATGATGTCAAAAGTCAAGGTCATGTTTCTTTTCGATAACTGAAGTGTTGTCTATAGTGAATTAGCAGCTTAGTCTACAAAATCATAAGAAATAAGCAGAGAGGTCGAGGACTGCATGGATTTATAGTCACCTAAACATGGTAATCAAGGGATTTTTAACACAGAAACAAGTAATCCGTTATTCCTTCTACAAGCATTCCTGCTTTTTTGCTAAATTTCTTGCTGTTTGACTTCTGGCTTTCCCTCTGACTTCTAACTCTTATCAAAATGGATCTCATTTTTCAAAATGACTTTATAGTCAGTTTGAAACAAATATCAAAATATACATTTTTCGAGTGCTTTCAGAAAAGACAGAAACTCTAGAGCAAGAATGTGTATTCGGATGGATTTACTTCAAAGATAGATAAACATTTTAATATAAATGTCGGTCAGAACGTAATGCACAATCCACTGCATGTCCTTAATGTTAAGCACTATATAAATGAAATTTTTTAGATAGAAGTATTTGTCCTTTACCATCATTTATACCTAATTTTTATTTCCTGTCATTGCTAATGAGCCACTATGAATGATCAACGTGTGACCCTTTTAGGTCAACGTGCAGTAACAGAACTCCTCTACATATCGAGGGCAACTCAGTATCACCAATTCATAGTAATCTCTTGTTAGTTTATCCAGACAATACTATGAATCGAAGTAGTGTGTATTGAGAGCTTTAGAGGTTGTGCTTGGGTGATTGAGACATTCAGGAGCAGCATGGTTAAGTAGACAGTTAACCGTCACAACCGATGTCCCACCAGTGTCCCGCCAATTTGATAAATACTCCTGAATACTAGTAGATCGACTGGATTTGGGCTCAATTCCGGACGAACGGGTTGTCTGCATTATTGGTTTTCACGGTTTTCCTTATGTGTAACGGGAATACCAGCTATTTTTTTTCTCGGAAAGTCTCCCATAATGCTAACCCTTCTCTTAGTCAAAGAGCTCTCATGGCTTTGCTATATCCAAATAATCAAACCTGAGCTTGGGTTCGAAGGAATATATAAAGAGTTACATTTCCCAATTTTTATAGAAATGCTTTTCAGAATTAAAAAAAAATGGCAAAACATTAATATTTGCCTCGTTTAAAACATTTTTGTTATTGAAAGTATATGTCTGCGACAAGCGATTGCGAAACGAAACGTCAGGAAATGGCTTATGTGAAAAGTTCTTCCATGGATACGCTGAAGGAATATGTGTTTAGCTGACAAATGTATTTAAAATTAAGATTAGGAAAATTTAAATACTCCACTTGGCCGAATGGCAGCATATTGACAAGTGTAACGTAAATATATGTGATTTATACCAAGTTTGATGTACAAAGTACAGCTAATCTATGATTGGTTAGTTTTAGTTACCCCTTTTCGAGTAGCTTTACATAACATAGAATATTCTCTAATTGGGGAGGACAGATGAATTTAGGGGGAGATAACCAAACCTAGAATATTAATTTTGAGATCGCCAATTCTTTTTAAAACAGCTATCGTATTTTACTGTATCTTACATATATTTATATACAGAGTTAGAATAACATTAAATTCAGCGGTGCATAGAGTGTGTAAATAAACTTGCAAAAAAAAAAAAAAAAAAAAAAAAAGAGGAGAATTCTTTTTGACAATCCCGTACATCGGACATTTTAGCGCACATGTGTCAGAAATTGGGACATGATGTTAGCGCCGATGTTGAAGAAATGTGGAGGGGAAAGGTAAAACCCTATAACTGCTATATAAGGCCATTTTTTTCTTGCGGGCGGCTAAAAGTTAAAATATTAATAGCAAATCATCTAAATGTATTTTTAAACTTAGGTTGCTCAGTAAAATGAGAACTGGTTTCAGGATTTCATTTTTTGCTGTATTTGAGCTAGCATAGTTGAAGGTATGGCTTAAAAATATTTCTAAATGTAAAATAAACAAAGAAAAGTAATAAAACAGTTTAAATTCAAATCCAGAACTGAAAATTTCTGGTAAAGCACCTAGGAAATGTATTATAAACTGAATAAAAAGCTATGTTATAACATGCAAACATTTTATGCAACAAATACAATGGTAGTAAAAGATGCCTCTCGAGAATTAAAAACTGTGTAAATATTGTCTCTGAAGTCAAATTCTTTGACAAAAATAATTTTTCTGTTAGCATTTCTGTTTAAACACTATTGTTAGAATCATCGGGAAAAATAATCCTGCGAGCAGTAGTCAGAAAATAAATTACTGAAGACGAGAAAAAACAGATAAGTGGATTAGTTCTGTTTCCGCATCTATCATTTTTGAAGACCGCTTTTGAGTTCTTGTTATGTAAATATTTTATTTGATGCTATTTCATGCTACCATCTGTGCATATACACGCATTCATTTTCTGTTGCCATTCCCAGAAACTTTAAAAACTTAACCTTGGGAGAAATATTAAGGAACGCATCATGCATTCTTTATGTTGCATTGACTATTCATGGGTTTCTTTATTTCTAAATGTATTGTCTGAGGCATATAATCCTTTGCAAACTGTGCTACATTTTATTCATTGTTTTAGCATAAGCTATCATATAACTATTCGTTAGTTCTACATAAAATGTATAATTTATGATATTACGTTTTATCACTTCATTTCCTTAGCTTATTATTAATTTAGAAAATGAATTGATTGGCACGTACTATCTTCTAGAGATATACAACATCAGATAAACGGATGTGGTATTCAGTTAGTCTTGTATGATTAATTGTCATTAAGTTGTATGAAAAGTTGTCCTTTTCAAAAATACTTTGAAATTATGTCAGGTAATTTTGGGAAAATATATCTCTTCAAGATGTATGAAAGTCGCTCCATTTGCTTTCATAGTGCGGTATATTTATGAACCTTAATTTACATTATGTCAATTCTGTTCTAGAGATGTTAACTATATTACTAATTTGCGATTAGTAATTAATGATCCAAATTCATTTAAGGGTTTTAAAATTTTAACCACACATTTTATCTTAATAAATGTAACGGTCTAAAATTATTCAGTCGTAAAGCTATGTATAAGGAGTTTTCTTATATTACGTTTTCGACCATAAATAATGGTCAGAACAAATTACATGAAATTACCAAATTTTTTTTGACAATATGAAGTAACCTTTTTTTTTTTTTTCTTTTGCTATATTTCTGTTCTTCATTTTAGTAGAGTCTTTCGTACTGATACTTTGATAAACAAAACTTCAGAATAAGAGCAAGAAGTTTAATCATTTCATTCCTACTATTAAATAATAAAGAATCTATATGCATGTATGTATGTATATATGTTTGGGAACACTGTGGATATGTATATGTTTATTATACACCTTTGGGTATATGTGTTTGGGACCACTGATATATGTCATTCCTCGCACTGTGAAAAAACGCCGACATGCAAGAACTAACAAATATTGAGCACACATATTCCACCCGAACGTGGGCGCCTCTAAGTACAAATTTTAAATTTCAATTATTTTTATTCATTTAGTATTTTGCGAAATGAAATTTCAATTAATAAATTCATCAGTTTAAAAGCAACGTGTTCTCACTCGACGTAAATCACTAAACGTAAGATATTCTTGTTTCAAATGTAATGAAATACTCAACGATTTAAATGAAATGCATTAACACTGCGCAAAATCAAATATATTTACCTTATACTTGCCAATATGCTGCTATTCGGCAAAGTGCAGTATTTAATTTTTCTTAATCCGTTTGACACTGATCAGCAAACTAAACGACTTGAAAACAAGAAACGCAGTTCTTCTTCTTTATAATAATAATCATTATTAATTAGTAGCTTTACTCTTGAAATACATTACCTGGATCATTAGAATTCTTATATAATTTTTCGTTTTAGGCGGCTGGCCGACGAAGAGGCTAATCATACTATGTGCAAACTTCTAGGAAGGGTAGGTTGCTCAAAGACAAATCAGGGGGTTAGGTAGTCAAGCAAGGTCGGACAAGCACTAGGGTAACGCAATAGAGGAAGTTGTTGAGGAATCAATAAAAATGTTCGCGTAGGAAATTCCATCATTCGATAGCCACTCATAGAGTAGACAGAATGGATGTAGAATGGAGAGTGATAGGACAGGACAGAAGATTTCACAAATGCAGAGTTACCGTCTATGCATCTAATTTAGCCCTCTGATCGGCAAAGCCGTATATATAAGGCATAGAATATTTTTTGTGTTGTATGTAAGAACGACAATATACTCGTATTAAAGATACATCTTGAAACATGTCCAAGAAATTAAGGCAATGTATTAAAGATACATAAATCTAGATATTAAATACCAACGTAATTTTAGTATTAAAATCAAGAAAGTTCCTCCTTCTCACGGCAGTTTTCGGAAATTTGTGCTTTTTTAGTGAAACTCCGGGCCGATTAGAGGAATATAAAATTGCTGATATAAGGGTGAGCCACTGTGCACCTGTACCGGGAGCTATTCCCTAAAAGTATTCTGAACCACCAAATATTTTCGAGACAGACCCTGCTCATTGCAGTACACAAACAATCACTACTGCCATCAATCTTCACAAAACCACCGTCTGGAGGATCCTAAACTCGAACGATTTGTACCTGAGCCACGAGCAGCACGTTTAGCTACTGCATCTACTTGATTACTTGATTTTCCTTAACGGTTACTTGCAGACGAGTGTGGCAGACACCCCTTTCCGACTTCCATCTTATTCGCAGACGAGCTGTACTTCACTAGTGAAAATTGCTGCAATGTACTTAAGTCGTGTGTGTGGGCAGTGGAGAACCTTGCTACAAGAATATATGCAACACATAGTTTGCTGTCAATGTTTGGTTTGGCACTATTAGGTCGTCACAACTAAATATCTCATGCTTCTTTCCTGTTAGTTTCAACGCACTTTTTTATTAGATTTTTTAGGAGGAAGTTTTTGCGAAAAATCGCTCAGTGGCCGACAGATTCATCAGTCCCTGCACCATGATATCTGATTAAAGCATGAGGGGAATCATAGATCATTTAAGCCTTACCGTTGATCTGAAATGATCTGGCACCGGCTTACTTAAATGTAATATTTGAATAACAGTGGATGGATGTGGGTGTCCCATTCAATGTCCTATCCTCTCAGACCACGAACGTAGAGCTATCTATTGAGGAAAATAGTAATGAATCGTGAAAAGTTAAGATATTAGAATTCTAAAAGCATTATGAAAGAATGGATTGGAATTAATGTCACTAATTAAAGAGGATGAATTTTTTGTGAATGGAAAGTTTCAAGTTTACCAGTTGGGAAGCTCTATGGATCATTTTCGCAGAGCGTAAGTCAGAATTGTGATTAAGTTTCTATCTATGATTAACTATCGAATAGTTCTTTAGTTCTTCTTTCTGACCAAAGTATTTATGGTCCTTGAAGTGAAATTTCAAAGCTGTTTCAGTTCTTTCGATATATCTCAAACTATACTGAAAAGATATACTACAAATTCCTCAAGTCAGGGGTGGAATCTTTTAGAGCAGAATAACGAAATTTATTGGTAGGGGAGAAAATGACCTGAAGAATCCGTACGATTTTATTACTGATGGACGAATGAAATGAAATGACAGCAAGGTTAGGTTGTTGTCTGTCGGCGAGAAGACGTATAGTTTAGTTTGTAAGAATTTTTAGCTGAATTACCTTCAAGTCGTCTCTAATAAAATTTTCGATTAGTTTTTACTTTTCCTTACAAAAATAACTAACATACTTACTTAAGTATTCTAGTTATCTTTGCGTTTGTTAACTTGTGTGTTAATAGTTAAACAGTAGCAGAGACGATAACTCGCCAACCATTGGACAGAATTTCTTTAGCCTAACCTTTAAGTTTGAGGTTAAGTATTTCCATGATCCTTTTTAACTCCTTAGAAGTTATACCATTAATTATAAATTCATATTTTGAATTCTAATATAGGTTACGAAGAAACGAGTACTGTCGCTTGAAACCAAATAATTGTGAACCTGTTACCAATGTTCCAAAGTTCTGCAGCAGTTATCCTATATTTTGTGCAAATGGAACAATAAAAGGAAGCAATATGGTAAGCAAATGTATTTAATTATAGTTTTTAAGAAATATAAAATGTCAAAGACTTAATTACAAGCTACATAATTCAATGTGTAATAGTTTTCTTACAACTCAAAAGTAATTGCAAGAGAATTAAAAAAAGGCATTTAAATTCCAGGCGCACAAAATGATCGAAAGAGAACAACAATACACCAAAATAAAATAACTATTAATTCTACAAAGTAATCCAAAACCCAAGTTCATCAAACTTTCAAAAACTGTGAAAAATTCAAAATGGATAATAATAGGAATTTTGTTTCAGTGATGGCACTCCAATAACGGTAAAAATATTAGAACTTGATATTTCAATCGAAGTTTATATTGTGAGTTATAAAAATTGTATGTTTATTGCAAGATACAGGTGAACCTCTCAGACAAAAAGAAATTTTATGATTGAGCATTACTTCAAAAAGCAGTCGTCCGGAAAAATTATTGAACCGTTTACATAAATCTTTCCAAATGTTCATGAATCTATCAAAATAATGAAATTTAGCTTAATAAGCTGATTTCTAGAAACTGGAAATGTTCACCTTAAGAAATGACCCGGCGGTCCATCGGTTGAGTTGGGAAAAATTAGATGAAGTCGGAAATAAAATGCTGCAATCACCAAACCAAAGTGTGGGAATGATGGCATTGCCATCAAATTTATGCGTTGAGAAATAATGCTCAATCATAAAAATTCTTTCTGCTTGAGAAAATCTTATCTCTATCTTGTACCGAACAAATCGTTTTTAAAGCTAACGACATAAACTGCAAGTGAAATTTCGAGTGGTATGTTACTTGTAACCGTATATGGGTGTCATCGATTGAAATAATTTGCCATTTACATCCATTTTGGAATTTTCACATTTTTTGAAAGTCTGATGAATGCGCCTATTGAATCGTCTTGTATTTTACATTTTGTCGCTCTCTTTTCTACACAGTAATGGGGAAAATGCTGCTTCATTTTCTTGAATACCGATCCTACACATGTACTTCTAACTGCAAAATATTTCAAAGCGGAGGGAGATACAAACACATTTGCTAAATCTCCGGTTTCTACTCGTATACTCTGGTTTTCAATGCAAATCTCCGGATGTCGGATTTATGACTTGAATCTCCGCGTTAAATAATGATTTTTTACAGGCTGAATTACTTTTCAATTCGATAAGCAACCTTTATCTTTTGTGATGAGAGAAGGAATAGCTCTGTAATATATTTTACTCGGCTCGAATGGAAACTACTCAGAATCCAGTTCTTTTCTTTTGATTATTCCTTGTAGCAGTGACAGCTGAAGTTCACTGCTGCTCGGAAACTGTTATTGTTTATGTAATGAAAGTAGCATAATACAACACACAATGACATCGATATGAAGTTATCTATTTGTTAACCCTTCTGTATAAACTGTATGCTGTAAAGTCCTTATCCGTCTTTATTTTTGCCACTGTTAGTCACAGACATATACTTTCAATCATAAAAATGTTTTAAAGGACATAAAAGTATCTGTTTTGGCAGTTTTAAATTTAAAAAAAATCATTTTTGTAAAAGTTACGAAATCTAACTTTTTGCCCATTCCTCTGGTCTCCGTACATCAGAATAAGCTGATGAATAAAAAAATTCTGGCTTTTGTCGAAATAACAGCACAGTTACATTCAATACGTTCGCTGAACAGGATTACTATACGAGACAGATATAGTAACATACTTTGCTAGAGAAAAGCTCATCAAAAGAAAGCCCCACCATACAAAACAAATTCACAATATTCCATTCCTAAATGCATTTACGGCAACACCGGTAACACCCAAAATAAATGTTTATGAACAAACATGTCTGACTTCAAACGTAGCATTAAAGTTGTCAAAAGCAGCATTTTTCACTAGAGATAAAAATCGTAGTGGTGAACGGGTTGAAGTTCGACTAGGCCTGTCAATTTTGGAGATATTTCGTAAAATAGTGAAGGATTTATTGGACCAATTTCGGAAGATTTTCAAACTTCAGCTGCGGAAGCTCTGTTACCAAAAACAAGTAGGAAATTCTGCAAATCAACGCTTTGGTTTTATAACATTATTGTATAACATAATCATTATATAAAAGTTGATTTTAAGAATTTTCAGGCTTGTTTATATCCCTAATACTAAAGTTCCCAAAGAGGAAATTTCGACATTTTTTTTAATTCTTTTAAAAATTCCAGCAATATTTGGGGGAAAACCCCAAATTCGATAATGTAACAAAAAATTAAAACCTTAGGAATCTCACCTTTTCAATATTCAAAGAAGAAATGTTAAAAATTTCTTTTTCTTTTTTTATACTAGCCATGCTTATATATTCTCAAGCTTCGAATTAAAATATTTTTATATTTTTCTTTGTTAGTTTCCACGTGAGTTTGCTATGATAGATGAAGCAAGTGCGACTCAAGAAATTATGGAAAAACTTGGACATAATTCTTACCCTTTGATATCTTCTTGTAATTTCGGAGATGTAAACGTAACTTTCGACTACTGCAAGTAAGTTGAACGAAACCACCGAATTACTTTACAGTCCACTTATTTGTCGTTGAATATATTGTAATTCAAGGCTTTACCTTTCATGTTCGTGTTAAAAGAAGTATGTTGTTACAGGAATCGCGAAAAATTTCGGATATGGTAATTTAACGGAGATATCCATTTTGACTGTTTCCGAATCCATTTGGACAATTTTTTTGTGTAACATCTGTACATACGAACGAAATAAAAGACTGTTTTTTTTTTGGAAAAACGGATTGTAAAATGGAATTCGAATATATTCAGAATGGATTTTTTGTGATATCTGTATGTACGCACATATGTATATATCTCATATAACTCAATAACGGTCAGCCATAGAACGGTGAAATTTTGTATGTGGGACAACTCTAACATTTTGTTGTGCGTCTCCCTTCTTTATTGCAGTCCGGTAGTACCAAACGTATACATATATTCACAGGCGTCCCTTACTCGGCTTAAGTCGGCTTAGTCCTTAACCAAACTTTATTTTCGCAATTGCTTGTCGTAGACCCAAGCGCTTCTCGCAATCGCTTGTCGTATACTTCCTATTACAAGAGTGTTTAAATTGACGAAAATGTTCATGTTTCGGCAATTCCGAATTAATAAAAAATTAATTTAAAAAAAAGCGAAATCTAACTTTGAATGCGATATTCCGGTTCCTATGCTTAAATTTGGGAAAGTTTTCTCTCGTTATGGAAAATAAAATTATACGAAATCTTATCTCCGTATGACAAAAATTTGATAAGGAAATTTATTCATTAATAATTTTAAAAAAACGTGATGATGAAGAAGATTTAGAATTTCCAATACCGAAATTATCAGCGGAATTACGAATTTTATATTTAATATTTCTGTATAGAGAGAGAGAGATTCGGTTGAAGTAAATAATTTGCTAAATTAAAAAAAAATGTTTGAATTATCATAGCATTTCAAGATTTCCTCAAATTCGTTTTTGAATCACATTTCGTACATTACGATTAACGAATGGATACCGGAACATGTATATATTTACAGAAATAGAGATAGATAGAAAGATAAAGTTTAAAATAACAGTAATTAAATTCAAGCAATATTTTACACGGCTTTTCGGATAACTGTAAAAAATGGATAAAATCAAAGTGGAATCAAAAGATTGATAAAATTAAAGTGAATATACAAATCTTTTAATTTATTGCTTTTACTCTTTCATATTTTAATTTGATTGCAGGAACACCACATTCACACCGTTTATGTTCCAAGATCTTTATGGAAAGATGAAAAAATGCTATATAATTAATGCAAGATGGACTAAATCCTCTCTAAATCTACCTATGGTACCCACAAGAGCAGGTATGTGCAAGAAAATAATTAATTTTCAAACATGAATTGTGAAATTCCATGTGCTTTTTGATACTAGGATATATTTCTCAGGATATTCACGGATAATTTGCTATTCAGTGCAAGCTACGTGAATTTTTTTCTTTTTTCTTTTCTACACAATTCTTTGATTCATTCTAGTAGAAAATATTTGAAATTTTTTGAATTAATGCTTTATTAGTTAGTCGATTAATTTATGTCTAATTAATAGTGTTAAGGCTCATTCTGGACTTGGAACCGGAAGAATATTTCCGTATAGGACGCCCCGTGGCAGGGCAATTAGCCATACATTCTCCATGGAATATTCTTAATCCGTTCAATGAAGGATTCACAGTGAAGCCAAGAAAAACGTACATCATGCAAATTAAAGAGGTACGAATTAAGTTTAGTTCGCTGTTTTCTAAAATATGTGGTGTTTCCTGTAATGTGGCTCATATTTCAACAAGAGAAAATACAAGTTTTATTCGACTCATATTTTTGGATTTAGAATATCAAGAACTTGCTGCCCTGGCCTTATCAGACTAACTGTACAGATTACATCAAAAAATGGGAAATTAGAGGAAGAAATGGACCTCTCTCCAAACAGGTACGGTCAAATATAATTCCTAAGAATTTCAAGGAAATTTTATACGACAATTACTTTTGTGAACATGTCTAAAACGAAACTAGAAGTTTTAAAAGGTGCCATTTAATTTTTTTGCATGAAAATATAAACGGAAGAAATAAAAGTATTCCATTTGTTTACTCCATACTACAGTGTCATTTTTGTAAAAGCAGTAACAGTAATATGTATTATTTTCCATATGCAATTTTTTTTCAGTTCATATAAAATGAAAAAAAGAAAATCTGAAAGGTTTCAGATTTTAAATTACGTCCAAAGGAGCGTTTTTTTAGCATTTTGTGTGCTACCTTTATTTATTAAATACCATGTTCTTCGCACTTAAACCATTTCAAGAGCAATATCGCAAAATAATTTTACATTGAGCATATCTTTAGAATTTCCGATACACAGTCTCACGCGCTGGAGATAAATTTTTTTTTTTTTTTTTCTGTACAACGTTTCCATTGCTCGCTTTGAAATTCTTGAGTTTGTTAGTCAAAAATTCGTTAAAGTTTTACAAAGTATGAAATCGATAATAAAAAAAATTCCAAATTTCATATCTGGGCTTCCAGATACCCATATTTGCAGTAGGATTACGTCATTCAAAGTTGGATGGCTCTAGGTACCGCTATCACAATGCGAGAAACACAGATACATTTATGCAGATTCTTCAAATATAATGCAGGGTGATCATATTTAGTGGCAACAGTTTGAAAAGTGAAAGGACATTCAGAGCGATTCGACGCAAAATCGCAAAACGAAAACAATAGTCCCTCAGGACAAAGCCCATTAGGACTAAAAATAAGAATTAGAGATGTGCAATCTTCTCGTGAATTGATTCAAAGAACCGGTTCACTTTACTGAGCGAGTATGCATCCGGGGTCATACATAGTATTAAACTCTGATAAATTCGGCTCTGATGGCTGAAATTACATGGAACGAGTTCGTATTATCCGAAAGGCCAGCCTATGCTATGCCGGAGTGTAGTGGTGCAAGTCATTCAAGTGCTGGGTTAATATAATGATTGGTTCAATGGTTAGATAATATAATGATTTTTCAATTTGCTTCTTCACCCTTCCAATTCAACAATACAACTAGTATGTTATGTATTTTTATAAGTGGATCCTAGCCCTTATGAGAATATCATCTATATGAAGCAATTAAAATTCAATTTGGTTTAATAAATAGTTACTTTATTTTTAAGAAATATAATCTGCAGCGTTAAGAACATAGTGTAAAAACTAGAGACATTTTAGTAGTTTAATATTATATTTATTGATATATTAAGGCTTATATTATTTTGAAAAGTACATAACTTTCTCATAGAAGGATTTTTAAATACTTTTTTTTACCTATACATGTCTTTCTTATAATTTCAGATGTGTGTTGAAGAGTGTATACTGAATCAGACCATGAATTCATGCAGCTGCGTACTAACTAATAATCTTTATCCTCATAATTTTAACTTCTGTGCAGAAGGTAAGGTGACAAATTGCTTAAAATGATTTATAAAAATATAAGTTTACTTAAATTTATACATTCAAACTATATCATGTAATTTTCAATCAAATGTATTAATTAATGCATGAGTGGCTCACGTTTGTTTTCCGGTACTTGTATTCTTGAAATTTATTTGCATAGATCTTGCACTAAATATTGAAATACAGACTTATATTTTTTCCTGATAATTTTTTCAGTTTTTTCCCTTTCTGTATTTTGAGCCTTGATTTTTGTAAAATAAATGTCATCAAAATATTCCTTGAAGTGCAATAGTTTGTTCAAAAAGTGTTAATGAGTAACTCACATAATTCGTCCGTTCCAAATTTTTGTTGAAATGACCATATTACATGGAACAATGGTTGCCAGAGCCTACTCCAAAGAGAGGTTAAACTTCTATCCCCCCCCAAATATTGCGGAAGAGCACCCCCGGGGGTCTCCCACCCCTCTCCCCTTCCACAAAACCACACGTGAGGACTTTCGGCCTCGCTGCTTATTAGAGTGTTCCCATGCCGCACGGATACTATACGTTTACAAACATCCATGTCTTCTCTGGGATTCAAACCCGGGCACTTAGGTACTGCAGTTGGCTCCTGCAACCACTATACCGTCTGCATGACTGGCGGGCAATATACCTTGTTATATATATATATATACAGTGGATGGACAAAAATATGGAAACACCTTGTTTGAAAAGAAAGATTGATTTTAATGAAATATGTAGGTGGCGCTGGCGTTTTTGACTACTGACGCCACCTATACAACTTCGTAAATGTGCTAAACAGTTCAGTTGTTGTCAGAGTACTGTTATGTGAGGTTGTCATTGCATTATGTCAGAGTTAACAGACTTTGAACGTGGGCAAATTGTTGGAGCACGTATGGTAGGTGCTTCCGTAAGCAAGGTAGCCGAGGTGTTTAGTGTTTCAAGAGGTACTGTATCGAAGATTTATTCCACATATTTGAAAAGTGGAAAAACATCATCTGCTAAATCACAGAGCGGACGAAAGTGTGTCCTGAGTGATCGTGACAGGCAATCATTAAGGGCAATTGTGACGAAAAATAAGAAGACCACAGCTGCAAAAGTTACTGCTGAAATGAATGTTGTGTTACCGAACCCTGTGAGTACCAAAACAATTAGAAGGGAGCTTCATAAACAGGGAATTGCTGGCCGTGCTGCAATTGAGAAGCCACTCATCAGTGATGCTAATGCCCGTAACAGGAAAAGGTGGTGTTTAAGTCATAAAGCCTGGACTATAGAGCAGTGGAAGCGAGTAATATGGTCTGACGAGTCTTCTTTCTTTCACATTGTTTCCCACTTCTGCTTCTGGCCGAGTTTACGTCTGGAGAAACGCCATTTCAATCAGCCTATAATACAGACTGCTTGTTGCCAAGAGTGAAACATGGCGGGGGTTCTGTTATGGTTTGGGCATCCATATCGTGGTTCTCTGCTAGCCCCATGATAACTGTGTCAGGGCACATGACTGCCAAGACTTATGTGAACATTTTAGCCGATCAAGTGCATCCCATGGTACAAACTTTGTTCCCCGCTGGTGATGGTGGTCTTTCCAAGACGACAAAGCCCCTGTTTACACACACTCACATTGTCCAGGACTGGTTTTTCTGAGCACAAGGATGAGTTGTCCCATCTCCCCTGGCCACCACAGTCACCAGACCTGAATATTATCGAACCTTTGTGGTCTACAATTGGAACAGAAAGTGCGTTCTCGTTTATCCACCGCCAACATCGTTATCCGAACTTGCCACCGTTTTGCAGGAGAATGGTATAAATTCCCTTGGCAAACATACAGGAACTGTATTTATCCATTCGAGAAGACTGCAAGCTGTTTTGGATGCCAACGGGTTTCCTACACCATATTAAGCAAAGAAACATGTTTTTTTAAAGGTGTTTCCATATTTTTGTCCAACCCCTGTATATATGTGTGATATATTCAGGAGCAGAAATTTGGATGCAAAGGAAGATTAAATTTTCAGTTTTATTTTCAGCAACAGCTTACTGCTACACACAAGTCGGCACATTAAATGTGCTTGTTCTAAAAGGCTTACATTTTTGAAAACTTTGTAGCAGGAAAGCAGCAACAGACAGACAGCAGTGTTACTAGGCCAAAGCGTGGGAAGCAAGTGTGTAATGTTCAGGATGAAATCTCAAGTCAAACTGAGTTAGTTTTGGTTCTCAAAGGATTTTGATTGTATAGTTAATATTGCTGTAAAATTATTGTAGGCTGCTTGAGTTTTAGTTCCATTTACATCACCAGAATTACGTAAGAGTCATATGACATAGATTTTTCTCGAAATGACGCAGTGCAAATAGATGTTGCTATTTTTAGAATAGAGAAGGAAAATTAATTTACGCTGCTAATTTAATCTTTTACATATTATTTTTTTTACCTATATATTTGTTTTAAATAAAAAAGTCACAAGAATTATCATCTGTAAACTATTACTTGTTTAGCAAAGCATGGTAATATTTCCGTATCTGATATGAGCATGGCAAGACGCTACAAATTAATGGCCAATTCTGCCAGAAAGTTAATCTTTTTAAAGATGGTAAAAGTATTCGAAATATCTAAAAAAAACCTTGTGTAAAGCATTTAACTATCTTTGATGTGTAGAGTCTTCTTGTGTGTTTTGGTAGCACAAACTGTAGAGTCCACTAAAAGACGAAGTAGCAAATTCTCGCTGTGTCTTGAAAGAACAGATGACTGCTGACAATGGTTATAACAACCTTTTTATTTTAACTAAACGTCACAGAAAATGCACTCATTCGGTGCTCACAAATTTAACCACCACTTGTGGCTAAGTATCTTAAACACAAAATAGTATGTAAAATCGCAATGAATTAAAGTTTAGCTACATGACTGGCTCCTACTAAATCTAAACCGCTTAATCGACTGCACACAGTAAAGTCTAGCCTAGAATATCAGTATAATCTAAAGTTAAGTAGCTACACCAACTATTCAACTACAGAGCTACTGTCAAACACGCTACATAAAATTCAGATGTAACTCTCCTACAACGAGCTCTTAAAATCTGCTACTTAAATACTATTTCTGAACACATTTAGATTTGCATATGCCTCATCTAAATTTGCATTCTGGCAGGAAATTGAAATTAGAAGGGAAAGGAAAGTTTCTTAAAATAAAAATAATTCGTTGGAACAAAATTAGGTCTTTACGAATGTTATAAATCGATGGAAATTGCGTGGAACCGTTGAAAATGCAGTGATGTCTGGACCACATTTTGAGCTAACACCAAGAAACTGCATATTTATTCTATGAAAAGTCAAACAAAAGTCACAAATTGGTACTGCAAAACGTTCAGTAGATGTAGAAGAATGGTTTGCAATAAAAGCTAATTATGAAAGCTTTTTGAACAGTCAATTTAGGAATATGGATACAGTGGGCGATCAGGAAGAAAATTCTTCGTGAGCAAGAAAACAAGGGACATGCACCCAGCTTTCCCAAAATCTAGAGCAGGAACAACGTTATATTTGCAGAAAAGTCACAATTTAATATTTTTAGGTCAAACAGAGGAATTAATATATGGCAAAAACCGAATAAAGAATTTAATTCAGAAAACCTTTTGTCTACAGTTACGTACGACGGTAGAGCTGTAATGATTTTGAATGTTTCATTGCCTTCGGTATAAAAAATTTAACGTTTATCGAAAACTATATGGCTTAGGATAAATATATATATATATATGTAGATATTCTTAATGAACACCTGAAATGAAAGAAAACTTAGAATACAAAATACATTTAAGTTCTATCAAGATAACGATCTTAAACATACAGCTCTAAATATTCGCTTGTGGTTGTTGTACTTGTGGTTAAAGGCCTTTTATAAGATATTTAAAAACGCCACATTTTTGCGCACAACAAATTCATATAAATTCTTGTTGTAAAAAATAGTAATATTATGTGTTCCGTTTACAAAGTGAGACTGAACGAAGGGTATTTGCAACGCATAAATTTAAAACAAAACAACCATATATGATTGTGAACATTAATAAATTGCGCTGATTATTTTTTCCCTATTTATTTTCTTTAGTTTATCAAAAATCATGAATGGAAACAATAGTATGTAAACTTGGGTTTTAAGTAGAAAGCATAAAAACATGGAGTTTTTAGTGTCGAAATACTTAATTAATTACATATTGAATAGACAGATGGTATATGGAAATATGGAAAAAGTCAGGAAACGAAACATTTGACATTCCTGCTTAAGAATATGTAAGAATTAAGCAGTGTCAGAAATCGTACGACTACTGTTTCTGATCAAAATCGACAAAGTAATACAAAAATTGTGAAAAATCGTTCATTTTATTCAAAATATAAATTAACCTGCATTTATGCGAATTCATCTTTATTTATGATAGAGATCTATTGAACAATCACTTTTTTAATTGAACCAGAGTAAATTGAAATAGTTTTATTAAGAAACTTTTTGCGTAACTGACTATGAAATCAATACGCATATTCATTTTCTTATTTCTCTTTTTTTATTAGCTACGGATTATTGCACAAGGCAAGTAAACTACACACATTGCTTTGTAAAGTGCAGCCCAGAATGCCAGTAAGTGAGCACTGTTTCATTTTTTTTCACTTTTACTAAGAATTTTACTACAATGTTCCTCTTCATTTTATGTACGTTTTGAACGTTCTAAACGAATCTAAAAATCAGTAAATCTTTTGGAATCCGTCTGCAATAAAATACTTAATTCTTATAGAAGTTATTCATTTAAATTTGTATTTATTGCAGAAAGGAAAATATGGAGATTTTTCATATCTAACACACAGGATTCTCTTCTTATGATCATCTGGAAAGTTCTGCCATACTTTGATGATAAATACAAATGAAGCAATACAAAAATAAAATAAATTCATTGAATCACATAAGCACCATTTTGTTTATGACTTTTTTGCCATCTCTTCAGCAGCTGGAAAATTCCTTTCTTAAAAAAAAGTTATTAGGTTTACTTGCAAAGAAGTTATCGAGGTGCTGTTTGATAATCTCCAAAGAAGTGAACTCCAGGCCGTTTAGAGAATTGTGAAGCGACCTGAAAAGATGAAAATCCGAAGAGGCAAGATCCAAGGAATATAGCGGAGGAGTGTTATAAAACGTAACCAGCCATACTCAATAAGTCTCTACGCGGCTGCCATCGAAGTATGGAGCTGAGCATTGTCATGAAGGCAAGACCTCGACGATTGGTCAGTTCAGAAGGCTTTGCTTTAAAATTGCCATTTGGAAAAAGTACTCTTAAGGATTTATTGTCTAATTTAGTCGCAACTATTTGTAGTATACAATTCCTTTGTAGTACCACCATACAAAAAGCATTACTTTTTTGGAATGCAGCCACCATCTCGATGTCATTAAAGGAGGTTCTTTTGTTTAACCTTATAATTTTTTCTTTTAATGCTGTTCTATCGTATCCACTTCTCATCTCCAGTAACAAGCCGTTTTGAAAGAAGAAGCTTCTTTATTTCGTTTCAGCAAAGAATTGCATGTCGAAACTCGAGCAAGCAAGCACATTATGTTCTGCTAAAGTATGAGGTACTTTTACATCCGTAGCCGCTTGCATGCCAGTCTTCTTCAAATGATCATGTACTGTACTGTTTCAAATACTTAGTCTGTCTAATATTTTCTGAACTTTATAACAGGGATTTTCAGCGATGGCTTCTTTCAATAGGTCTTTGATTACAGAAGATGATCGTCCGGAACAAGAATCATATTCAAATTTGAAATTTCATCTCTTAAACTTCTCAAACTGTGTCATCAGAAACAGTACTTTGTCCATATAAGGCACAAATTTTACGAGAAATCTGATTAGCAGTTTTCATTTTTTTTAAATAATAAAGCATAATTTGACGAGAATGAACTTTCGGTTCTTCACTCTCAGCCCTGCACTGAAAATATTTTGCTACAGCTCAAGCTAAAATAGCGCATCGGGAGCAGAAAAGACCATATTTGAGCATCCACTTCTATCGAGATCACTCCTTATCAGCAGTAAAAAAAAAACGTGTTTCGATTCGAAAAGCCGTAGGACTTTCCAATATGTTTAAAGAGTATAAAACAAATGTCCATACAATATTATTATTTGACATAAACTGCAACGAAAATTAATTCAAATTGCATTGTAGTCCTTCAATAACCATATTAATTATACCATTTAGGTATTCTGAACAAGTTTATAAGCAGTTATCTTGAAGTTCAAAATTTTAATTGTTACCTAAGCAATATTTTAAATTAAATTACTTCTGAAAGCCAAAGTTTTTTATTAATTAATAAAAAATATAACAAAAGAAGGAATGAATTTAGCAGTTTTAAATTAATTATTAAATTTTAAACAGGCGATCATTTCCTGTCATAAGACTGAATAAACGAAATGACCAATGTGTGCAGTAGACAAGGTGTTCTATACATCAGAATTCTGTAAAAATGGAATCCATTACCGTACCTTGTAAATTTTAATCAAACTCGAGAAAATCTTTTCCATGCAGGATATTTATGTGTAAAGAATTCTCCCCTTCCTTACAGCGCGCCTTGGTTACAGTATCACGGACGAAAGTGTCGCAGAGAAAACAACGCTAGGTGGAAATGTCATCAAAACATCGTGAGAAAAAAGAAAACAAGGGAAAAACTTTACAGTTCTAAAACACTGCAGTAGAATACATCACCGTCGAAAATAAGCTATTCTAAAACTTCTCATTTTAAAATTGTCGTCGTCGAAAATGTGAGGTAAAAAATAAAACATAAAAAAATCGCATGACTATAACGTCGTAGGTTTTTTCAGGTTTTAAATGTTGTAAATGCATGTGATTAGTTGGCGTAAGAAGCAATGAGGAATATTTTCAATTATATATTTTTTAATTAACTAATAAATTTTTGTTGAAAAATTAAGATGAAAACTTAAGCATTAAAAAACTGAAAATAAATAGAAAATTAATGCTACTTATAGCAGTTCTTAGAATTTTATAATTTGGTAATTAATTAACAAATTTTAATATAGGTTACCACATGCAATTACTCAGCTTCCTTTTTCTAATCTTTTTTAGATTAAATTTTTCTTGAAATATTACCAATATACTTTATAAAAGAGGTTAAGCAACTAATGACTTTATTAGTTAACTTTATAAGTTTAAAATTCTATTAACTACTCTACCTAGCATTATTTTTAACTCAATTTCAGTTTTTGAATGCTTGAATTTCTTTTTTAATTTCCAGCAAAAATTTATTAGTTAACTGAAAAATACAATGTACGTCCAGAAAGTAAGTTCCGTTTGGTAATAAAAGTAAATTGTGTACAGCTACAGAAAAGTTATTTATTGCACATTCAACAACTCTTAAACTACTTTTCCACATAACTGCCGAAATATTGCAGGCATTTGTCATAGCGTGGCACAAGTTTTTGTATACCTTCTTCATAGAAATTTGCCGCCCGTGTCTTCAACCAGTTGGAAACAGTTCCCTTTCAGCTCGTCTCATTGTTCAAGTGTTGACCGCCAAGGAAAGACTAAGATGTAAGAGCAGATAAAGTCGCTAGGAGCGAGGTCAGGGCTGTACGGAGGATGGTCAAACACACGTCCCAGCCAAATCCCTTAGGAGGTTTTTCGTCACATTTGTAGTGTGTGGTCGTACGTTGTCGTGAAGAAAAACAACACCTTTGACAGCAATCCTCGGCGCTTATTCTGTATTGCGCGGCGCAATTTCCGAAGTGTCTCGCAATAAGCATCTGCTCTGTTATTTGACCACGCGGTAAGAAATCAATGAGTAAGATGCCTTTCCAGTCCCAGAACACTGTGCACATCATTTTTCGAGGTGTCAAGATTTGCTTCGGCCTTAACCTTTGCTGGGGATGAAGTGTGCCGCTTACTTCGGGGTGTCGTAGAAACCCAAGTTTCATCTCCTGTGACTATCTGTGTCAGAAATTCTTCGCCGCTTTCGGCATAACGCGTCAAAAAAACTGAAGTGCACTACCCATCCGTTTTGTTTTGTGTTGCTCAGTAAGAATCTTTGGTACCCAACGTGAGCAAATTTTTACGAAATTTCCGTTTTTCGGTAACAATTTCATGCATTAGTGATCGTGAAATTTGGGGAAATTCCATAGCGAGAGCACTAATTGTAAACCCTCGGTTTTAATGAATCTTGTCATCAATCGCGTGAACCAGTTTTCTTCTTAACCAAATGGACGCCCACTTCGTTCTTCATCGTCATTGAACTTTCGGACCCATCTTCTACCATTGAATCACTCATCGCTTTTGTCCGTAAACATCGAGCAAATTTGCCGATAAATTTCACTAGGTTTCACTTTCCTCGCATTCAGAAAACGAATCACAGATCTGATTTCACAAGCGGGGGATTTTCAATCAACACGCCATGTAAGCAAGCACAACAAGCGTACGTGACTGACAGCGATCTCCAAATGGTGCGCGTTTCTTCTCCTTGATACAGAGCGTCTACTGCGCATGTGCGGAACTGCGATCGCAGAGCTGCAGCGGAGATAAATTAAAACGGAACTTACTTTCTGGACGTGGCTCGTATGAAATATAAAAGTAAAAATGTTCCTCAGTCCTTCTTGCCCTCACAAATTCATTATGCAAATAAGCATTTAAAGGCCAGAAAACGCATGTCTGCGATGTTATCGTTGTGGCAGGATTCATAGGGGCTTTATTTTTTACTACAATATTTTCGACGACGATGTTTTTAAACTGCAAAGTTTTTTAATCGCTTTATCTTCGATTACGATGCTTTGTACTACGATGTTTTCGAGCTGCGATAATTCCTTCTTGCTTTCTTTTCTCCCACGATGTTTTTCACGTCGACATTTACGCTTTGCCCTACTTTCTGCGTGACGCAATGTTTTCTTCTTGCTTTCTTTTCTCCCACGATGTTTTGCACGACGATATTTAAGCTTTTCAATGCTTTCTCCGTGATGTATTTGCTGCAGTGTTTTCGGAGGACACCCGTGCCTTTCTGGTGCAAAGGAAGGCGCGTCCGGCTAGCATCCGGAGATCGGATGGCTGAATTTCACATTTACCTATCTTCGAAAATCTTAAAGATTCTAAGTTGGCGTCCGATTAAAAAGTGATGACAGTGATTTGTTGTCACTTAGATTTACAAAATGGGCTCCTTTCTCTCCAGTCGTTCTAAAATAGGAAGTATGTAAGTAATTTTCTACTTCTTTACCACATGCCTTCGTCGTTTAATTTGAAGAACGTCTGGCTAGTAATAAGGAGGTTGAAAGTTCGAATCCCGGCATGGGTGCGATTGATTTTTCAAGTTTCCTATTTTAAAATAAACGTAATGTTTGTGCAGTATTATTCGGGGCATAAGAAAAAAAAAAAAAAAAAGTCCGCATTTGATTTAATAAAAATATATTCAGGAGGTTTTAAGAATTAAAACTGTTTTTGTTACATTTAAACATATGATTAAATATTAAAATAGCAAATACAGAAAAGTAATTATGGATAACTTCAGCGAAGTAGCACTAGAAGAAAATTTAAGGATATTATAAATTCCAAAATACCCTTTTTTGATGAAACGTGTACAGCAAATGAAAATAAAATGCATAAAAATCAAATGGTATGTTTTCCAGATTTTAGTACTGATGGAAAGTTGAGTTTTCTGATTAATCATTTATGGAAGTCGAGTGCTGCTGTGTTTTTCTGATTTAATTATTAATGTGTAAAGATATTACGTATTTTGGAAGCAGGAGAGATAAAAAATATGCAACGCCTTCGCCGGGAATCCAACCGCGGACCTTTGGAATACACGCCCAGCGTGCAGTCCACCACACCACGAAGACATGCCAAGAAGGTGGGAGAAATAAAATGGAATGAAATTATGGATAACTAATGGATAAAATGGATAACTAATGTCCTAATAAATAAATAAATGGATAACTAATGTCTCGGAAGTTAAATCTAAATTTAAGTGTCTTCACTGTAAAATAATATTTTAAAATGCCTTATGAGTAGAGTAGTAACTTTACCATGGAGTGAAATTCTAGGAATTTTAGAAGTTTTCTCAGCATTAATGAATACCAAATGATTTTACGAAAATCGAATCAATTTACTAATTTTAGGTTTTTTAATATTTTGTATTTCTGTTTTTGTACGTTTAAACAATTTTAACTCTGCTTTCGTTACATTTACCATGGACGATACAACAAAGTGATCCTAAATTAAAATTCAAGTCTAAACTTTGAATTACCCTTCATGTATTTGAATCAGTTTTCAGTGCAGGTTTTATTACGGTAAAAATTGTGGCTCACGTGTTGAAAATGAAAGCAACGCTAACTGACGTGCAATTCATACATGTGTTTCAAAGAGTAAAAGAATCCATATTTCGAGGTGGATCAATGCAGAAAACAGCAAATCAAATTTTAAAGTTTCTAGTGACGAAAAAATCCTTCGCGGCACAGTTCTGGGAAATAATAAAAACTGTTGTGATGCTGAAGATGATGAGGCAACAAAAAATGAGAAAAATTGGCCGGCTTATGCTTCGGTTTATTTAGGTTCGTTAATTGGAAGAAATAAAAAAGTTTCTTCTATTATTAATAGTTGTACTTCTGAGTTTATTTTTATAATTTCAAATAAAGAACTTCAGAAAACCTTGTCGGGGAGGGGGAACTGGACTGATTTAAAAATTAGTCTCTGTTAACAGTCTTATCGATTATCCGATGTGATTACGTTATCAATTAGCTCAGATAATTAAGGTCTTCTATTGTACTATAATTACTGTTCTACTGTATATGTCTGAAGCCTTTCAGAAGAATGTTTAAATTCGTATATAAAATAACAAAATTCGTATATAAAATAACATAAGTAATTTAAGTCGTCTTAGTTATATTATTTGTTTGCTCCGTTTTGAGATTCATTACCATGACAAAATTTTCCGAGTAAACCATTTATTTTAGTGCTGTCAGTTTAAAATTGTAAGTTATCTAAAACAAAATTGAAATTTTATTTATTCCAAGACATATTCTTCTGTCTTCACTGTCGAAAGAAATGTGAATTTTTTAAATTTTACTAAAAGATTTTTCATCTTTCAGCACACGGGACTTCGAGTATACACTAAGGGAAGAAGACATTGAATTGGTAAGAAATATTACATTTTTGACTTTTTACAATGAGCAACTATGAATACCTATAATTCCATTTCAAATACAGATAAATACTGTTAGTTTTATTAGGCAACACGTAGTTACTACCACATGTATCATATACTTTGGTAGCAAAACTGAACGTAAAAGAGAGAGAGAAAAAAAAAGGAAATTCTTTCTGTTGCGCCTCACGAGACAAATACGTGTCAGAATAAGAAGATCGCGATGTAAGAAGTCTATTCGGAAGCTTTTGTTAAGGAATTTTTAAAAAAATTACAAAATATTATTATTTTCATTATTATTAATAATAATAATTACAAAATATTATAAATTCTTTTTAGAAAACGAATCGGAAGGATTAAAGTTTAACATGTCTAAAGATTAAAGGAAAATAAGCAGTACACATTTGAAAAAAAATTCTCATTGGAAAGGTGTTAAGGTCACTTTGCTAAATAAATTCGTATTTAATCGGTTTATTTAAATACGAAATTTGTTTTAAGTTCGTGTAATAGCTAAGTGCCTACGCTTCACGATGATGGGAAAATGGAATGTGTAGAGTAAAAGCTCGCTTTTATGTCATTATGTTTCAAAATGATGCGATTTCATCAAAAAACATAAAATAAAAAAATAAAAAAAAAACTCATTCGAATTTTGAAAAACTTGCTTCGAGGTGCGCTGGCTCTTGTCTGGATGCACCTATGTTTCATATTTCGTAGCCCTGGGTCTATCAGCTTACGCGCAGCACGAACGAAAGACACACACACACACACAGAGAGAGAGAGACGGAGTCTTCCTTTTATTATATGTAGAGATTGCTTAAATTTTAAATATGGCGTTTAATAATAATCCAAGCAATAAAGTAATGTTTATATATATTGTCTACAGTTTTGATCTATTTCTACATTAAGTGAAGGATTCTGATTGCTTAATGGCGATTTGTTAATTATTAAACTGCAGTAAGACTATAAAAATTCTAAAAATCATAGCATATTGCAAATAATTATGAAAAGTAAATGTGGTTTCAATCATTTTGTTGCATCAGAATTCCGAGGATATTGTTCCACCAAATTACGCAGCCTAATTGATTTGGTATTTCAACAATATTTAATCGATAATATAATCTACTATAACAAAAGAATGAGTTTGTTTATGTGTGTGTGTGTGTGTGTGCCTCATGGCAAAAAAACAGAGACATAGAACTACAAAATTTTTCCAGAATAGAATATGTGCACTTCGAAGAGATTTGTCTCCGCTCGAAATTCTATTTAGAATTTTCAAATTTAAAGCAATTTTTTGCAAATACCTTTTAAATACCTCAGTTAATCTTCATATAAATTTAATATTTATACCATCAGAAAAGTCTGAGAATAATCTCTTAAATGAAATTCATTTTATATCTCTAAAAAAAAGGGTTTTTTGCGATTTTTGTTTCGAAACCACTGGATTTTTTAATCCTTATACCTGCAACATTTTAAAATTTCATGTCCCAAAATCTATGGCTCGCAGTACGCATAAAATTTTACAGATTAAAAAAGTATTAGTTAGATGATTTTTTCTGCACTTTTTTAAAAAATATATCACGTTACAATTCCCACTTTACTCATGACTTTTTTAATAAAACTTTGCTAATCACTTTTTTACTAATCGCTTTTTTATTCGTTTCGTACTTTACTAATCACAGATGGCTTGAAAGGGCGAACTCCTTTCATTAAAAGAAGCAATTTTTCTTCTTTTGCATTCAGTGAGGCTCATTATTATTATTATTATTATATTTATTCATAGTTCACGAAAGGCCAAATAAATAAAGATTGCTGAAAACCTCAGAGCACTATCCGCTATATTGCGGATTGAACTCCAACTAAAGAATTTTGAAGATTTATCCACATATATCGTGAATGTCAACCAGTTCCTTTTAAAAATGGAGCCAATTAGAAAACGTCATTGCCATTTTGAATGTTAAAATTACAGTAGTTCAAAAATATGTTATCGATAAAGGTTTCATAAAATTTGGTTGCAATATTGTTACGAAAATAGGACATGGTAAAATTTTAATAGCTGGAATTACACTCATGTCCATAAATTAAGGATAATTCGGAGTCACACGGATATCGAACTCTAAAATAAATATATCACCTGTAAAATCACTACACACATCTTCAAGAGTCGTATGCAAATTTCAGAAAGTAACCAGATGACACCGATGGTACGTCACAATGACGAGAGTGTAAGAGAGTGATATATAAGGAATACAGGCAAAGAAGTAAAATTGTTCGCAGGCGCTTTATAAGCATTTCAGTGCAATAACCAAATAGTTATGACACAAAAGACGCATTTGGATAATTTTTTACGTGGTAGAATTATCGGCCGTCTGGAATGTGGACGTACCCAACTGGAAGTATCAGACCAACTTGGAATTGCCCAGAGTGTCATCTCCAGGCTTTGGCAACGATCCCAAGATGATGGTAATGTGAGTAGACGTTACAGCACAGCTCGTCCCAGAGTTACAACGGCGAATGAGGACCGGTATTTGGTAGTTACTTCCAAAAGAAACAGGCGGAGTACAGCCTCATACCTGTCTCGTCAGCTCTCTTTAGCCACTGGTACGACAATTTCAAGGCAGACCGTGTACAGACGCTTAGGGCAGATTGGTCTATATACTCGTCGACCTGTCTGATGCGTTCCACTTACTGCAACTCACTGTCGCCTGCGGTTAGCCTGGAATAGAGAGCATGCATTGTGGACACCGCAACAGTGGGCTTGTGTGATGTTTTCCGACGAGTCCAGGTTTAGCTTGCAGTCTGATTCTCGCCGGAGTTTCATATGGAGAGCTCCGGGTACCCGTTACCACCAAGAAAACATCATTGAACGACACTGTTACGGTGGTGCAGGAGTGCTCCTTTGGGGTGGTATTATTTTGGGTTCCAGAGCTGACCTGCATGTTCAAATTGGAACCATGACAAGCCAAATCTATCGGGACGTCATTCTGGAACAACATGTACGTTTGTTTCGGGGCGCCATGGGCGCACAATTTGTGTTTATGGATGACAACGCCCGTCCTCACCGTGCAAACATCGTAAGCGAATGCCTTCAATCGGAGGATATAACCCGTATGGACTGGCCAGCATTCTCACCGGACTTGAATCCTGTAGAGCACGTGTGGGACATGCTTGGCCGACGAGTTGCAGCCCGTCAACCTCCCCCTACATGTCTACCGGAACTTCGGAGAGCATCGCTTTTGAGTGGTGTAATATCCCCTAAGATCAGATCGATAATTTGATACTCAGCATGCCCAGGCTTGTACGGACTGTATTGCATCGTCTGGGAGACATACAATGTATTAACAGTCATACCAACCATGTAATATTGGTTTTTTGTAAATAGGTTATTTTTGTAATTTGCTTCAGGGTGAAAAAATTGCTTTTTTTTAATAATATCAAACATATAGCATCTTTTTTTGCTCTTTACCTTTTGTTTAATAAATAAGCTTTACAAATAAGTCAAATTTGTTTTGCTGCTAACTCTTCCTTTGCCTGATTTTGCATTATCCTTAATTTATGGACATGCGTGTATATTGTAAATTGGCGCGCAGATATAATTTTTTTAATTCTCTGTTAATTTATATAATTGCCAATTTGTACTTTATATGAAAATTTTACTCCTCTGTTTAAAAGATTTAAATGGAAAATGGTGATTTTTAATGTACGCCTGACAGAAAGATTTATTAAAACATCCAAAATTTTAAGGTATACTAAGTAGTTAGGATTTGAGTATCCCTGCACCCCGGAAGTGCAGTCGACCTTCAAAAGTACTTGGATGTAGTAGTAGTAATAGTGTGTAGTAGTAGTGTAATGTAGGCGAGACTGTTTGTCATATACTATGTTTTTCTAAAATGGGATTGCTTTAGTTAGAGACTGACCTCTCGGTTGTTGACTTTTGGAACATGTTTGTTGTCGTTCGGTAGGTTTCTTTTGTTTGATAGCCACCAGCTGTGAGTGCTTTTTTGTAGTATTTTTAACGTTTTTTTGGATGGTGTAAGTGAAGGACAGCAGCGACGTTGTGAATGCTTGTCCCCCTCGTACACCATTCATAAAACGCATTCGATTTTTCCTTGGTTAGAAATAGTATCTTCTTTCCTTTTTTGTAGTTTTTTGAACGTTCTTTGGATGGGGTTGGAGATGGACAGCAGCGACATTGTGAGTGCATGCCCACCACCAACACCATTCATAAAGCGCCTTCGATTTTCTTAAAAGTAGTATCTTCTTCTTTTCTTTTTGGTAGTTTTTTTAACCTTCTTTGGACGGCGGGGGGGGGGTCGAAGACGACCAGCAGTAACCCATAAAACGTCAGGTCATTCATTGGGTTCGTTGTCTTGAGTTCGCTTGTGCATTTTCATTTTTCTTTTTTTTTTTTTGGAAATATTTAGTATAAAAAGGGAGTTGAAAGTGAGAATTAAGAGTAGTAGATGCAAGATGAGTGCAACAAAATGGAGTATTTTTTTTTATTATAAATTTCGTTTTATTTTTTGGCAATAACAATAGTCGTCGTAGGAATATTTTTCGGAGAATTAATGAGGAATTGTGAATGGGGTGAAGGGAAAGTGGATTTAAGAAATTCTACTTGTAAGGAATCGGTTTATATTGGTCGAAAATTGTTTTTGCATGTATGTGTAAAAGAGAATAAAACAGTTTATGATATACGTTATTTTTGGAAAGATATCGATATGTTGAAAGCCGATATAATTGGCGTACAAATGATGAGGGGGGAATTTATGAAACTATGCAGTTTTTGCAGAGTTTTTGCAGACAAAATGTATAGACATTTGAGTCCTCGGATATCGGAAACGGTTGGATGAATGTAAATATATTTTTGTTAAAGAAAAAAAAAAAAGGAATTTATCAGCGATGTTAAAATTCAAACATCCAAGTTCCTGTTTGGTTATTGGCCCGAGTCAATCAGGTAAAACTTCGTTGGTACGCGAAATGATACGAAATCGAA